AAGAACGAGAAGGTGGAGAAGTATCATCAGTAGGTAATTGTCGTTGGCGTTTAGGCGTGGGACCAGAGTTGGTCTGACGTGGAATGGGCCGGCGATTCGAAAATTGCCGCACCGTAGAGGGAGAGGCCGGAAGCATAGTCAAAGGAGAGCGGAGGTCAGATAAATCAAAGGAGTCAGTCGAGACCTCAGTACCTGAAGCGGGTGAGGAAACAGCACCGGCAAGAGGTACAGAGGCATGAGGAGTGTCCGAAGAGTGGTCCAAGACGAGGCGGGGTCAGAACGGGTTGTGGTATCAAGAAGGGGCCCGGGGGTACCAGGTTCAAGGATTGGGTTCTCCATGGTTAGGTTACTTCTTTCTTTTTGTTTTTAAGAAAAAAAAGAAAATAAAATAAAAAAAAGAATAAAAAAAGGGGGGATCGGGGAGGGATAGTTCCTAGGAGGAATGAAAGGGCCAGAAATCTCCCTCCGCGCCCAAGAGGACCTCAGCACCGCAAGTAGCGCAGATGCAGCATGGAACCCGTGCCATACCCTACCCATCATGCCAGGAAACCAGCAATCCGGGATAGCAACCTCACATCTGCCGATCTACCTCGGTGGACAAAAGAAAGGGCGGCCGGATATCCGCCACAAAGCATACCTCCTTCGGCCACCACCCCCAGAATCCGAAAGGCGGCTTCCAGAGATACACCCGTCGCCCGAAAGACACCCAAAGCCACTCTCCGGGATACCGGAGAGGGATCGGGACATCCCCAGGCGATCCAGATTCCACGGCAAACTACACTACCGCCAAGAACCTCAACAGAATGGGATGGACCCCGGTACCCTTTCCCCTACCTAGGAACTAGCATGCCTGTGGGAAAAATCCCAAAGGCCAAAAAGGAGGGGTGGAGAGGGGGAGGAGGAAAGGAAAAAGGGGAGGATGGGGAGGATGGGATAGGGAAGGGGGGATTGGGGGGTAATTAGGTTCGGTCTGAGGAAGGAGACCGACAGGTCTAATTCCTCAGACCAAGAGCCTCTTCACCACACCAAGGAGCCCCCCTTGAAGAGGTCCACTGCCTCAAATGTTCTATTGAAGAACGTCAGTAAATTTGTCAGGCAGGAACGACCTCTTGTGAACCCATGCCGAGATTCATTAATCAAATTATGCTCTTCAAGGCGACTTCTAATAATGTCAGCTATAATTGATTCTAATAACTTGCCCACTATATATGTCAGGCTTATTGGATGGTAATTTGAAGGAGTGGACTTATCCCCTGATTTGAATATAGGAACCACAGCCATCTTCCACAACTCTGGCACAACACCGGTAAGGATGGACGCATTAAACACATTCGTTAATGGCTGACTAAGCTCCATCTTGCATTCCTTAAGTACCCTGGAAAACAACTCATCGGGTCCCGGGGACTTATTTTGCTTAAGCTTGTCTATCTGTTTAATAACCATGTCATTCGTGACAGTAATATTAGTTAATTTAAATTCATCAGAAACTAAATAATTGTTAATTTCTGGAATATCATTTACATCTTCCTGTGTAAAAACTGACAAAAAATAGTCATTAAATAAGGAACACATTTCCAGTTCGTTATCTGTCAGCTGTCCATTCCCAATTTTCAGAGGTCTTGCTTTTTCTTTCACCTTCGTCCTATACACTTGAAAGAACCCCTTTGGATTAGTCTGATTCATTAGCAACTCTAATTTCATAGTCACGTTTAGCCTTTCTAATCTCCTTTTTTACTTCTCTTTTAAGCTGGACATATTGGTCAGTAAGGTTAACCTCTCCTCTTCTGATGTGCCTATAAATTCCCCTTTCTCCCCTAATAGATGCTTTAGCCTCCTGTTAACCCATTTGGAATCATAATTATTAGACCTCATTTCTCTCTCGAAAATGTATATACTCTGAACACGGTGTACATTGTTAAGAAAAAAATCAAACGCAGATCCCTTCATAATCATAAGCATGATCATCATCAATAAAATCATTAGCTAGATGACCCCAATCTAGATTAGACAGGTGTTCCCTAAGTCCATTGTAATTAGCAGAACGAAAATCAGGGATTTTTACCGTATTACAAGACAGAAAAAGATATACCAATACAGTGGACCCTCGCCTAACAAACGCATTGCATAACGTTAAATCCGCCTAGTGATGCATTTTAACGCAAAAATTTTGCCTCGCTCAATGAGATTCGTTCGAGATGCATCCACGTGCGGCCTGAGCCCGCCTCGCTTGTTCCGTGGGTGCTAGTGTTTACAAGCCAGCCACTGCGGTCGCTTCCAAGCACACAATCAGAACATTTCATATTATCACAGCCTTTTTAGTGATTGCACCTGCAAAATAAGTCACCATGGGCCCCAAGAAAGCTTCTAGTGCCAACCCTACAGCAAAAAGAGTGAGAATTACTATGGATATGTAGAAAGAGATCATTGCTAAGTATGAAAGTGGAGTGCGTGTCTCCGAGCTGGCCAGGTTGTACACAAAACCCCAATCAACCATCGCTACTATCGTGGCCAAGAAAACAGCAATCAAGGAAGCTGTTCTTGCCAAAGGTGCAACTTTGTTTTCGAAACAGAGATCGCAAGTGATAGAAGATGTTGAGAGACAGTTATTGGTGTGGATAAACGAAAAACAGATAGCAGGAGATAGCATCTCTCAAGCGATCATATGTGAAAAGGCTAGGAAGTTGCATGACGATTTAATTAGAAAAATGCCTGCAACTAGTGATGATGCGAGTGAATTTAAGGCCAGCAAAGGTTGGTTTGAGAGATTTAAGAATCATAGTGGCATACATAGTGTGATAAGGCATGGTGAGGCTGCCAGTTCGGACCACAAAGCAGCTGAAAAATATGTGCAGGAATTCAAGGAGTACAGACAGTGAAGGATTGAAACCTGAAGTGTTTAATTGTGACGAAACAGGCCTGTTTTGGAAGAAAATGCCAAACAGGACCTAAATTACTGAGGAGGAAAAGGCACTCCCAGGACATAAGCCTATGAAAGACAGGCTTACTCTGTTGATGTGTGCCAATGCTAGTGGTGATTGCAAAGTGAAGCCTTTATTGGTGTATCACTCTGAAACTCCCAGAGTGTTCAGGAAAAACAATGTCCTCAAGGATAATTTGTGTGTGCTGTGGAGGGCAAACAGTAAGGCATGGGTCACTAGGGACTTTTTCTATGATTGGTTACACCATGCATTTGCCCCCACTGTGAAAAATTACCTCCTGGAAAATAAATTGGACCTTAAGTGCCTCCTGGTATTAGACAATGCTCCTGGTCATCCTTCAGACGTGGCAGAGCGACTTTCTGCAGAAATGAGCTTCATTAAGGTCAAGTTTTTGCCTCCTAATACCACTCCTCTCCTGCAGTCCATGGACCAGCAGGTCATTTCCAACTTCAAGAAACTGTACACAAAAGCTATGTTTGAAAGGTGCTTTGTAGTGACCTCAGAAACTCAATTGACTAAGAGAGTTTTGGAGAGATCACTTTAGCATCCACAATTGTGTAAACATTATAGGTAAGGTTTGGGAGGAAGTGACTAAGAGGACCTTGAACTTTGCTTGGAAGAAACTGTGGCCAGAATGTGTAGACAAAAGGGATTTTGAAGGATTTGAGGCTAACCCTGGAAATCCTATGCCAGTTGAGGAATCCATTGTGGCATTGGGGAAGTCCTTGGGGTTGGAGGTTAGTGGGGAGGATGTGGAAGAGTTGGTGGAGGAGGACAATGAAGAACTAACCACTGATGAGCTGCTAGATCATCTTCAACAGCAAGAGGCCACACCTGAGGAAACTGCTTTGGAGGAGGGGATAGAGAAATTGAGGAAGTTGCCTACTTCAAAGATTAAGGAAATGTGTGCAATGTGGCTTAAAGTGCAAACCTTTTTTTGATGAAAATCACCCTCACACAGCTATTGCAAGCCGTGCTGGTTGACTATTACACTGACAATGTTGTGAAACACTTTAGGAATGTCATAAAGGAATGGGAGGTACAGGCCTCTATGGACAGATATGTTGTGCGACAGAGGTCCAGTGACTCTCAAGCTGGTCCTAGTGGCATTAAAAGAAGGGAAGTAACCCCGGAAAAGGACTTGCCACCTCAAGTCCTAGTGGAAGGGGATTCCCCTTCTAAACATTAACACTATCCACTGTCTCCCCTCCTCCCATCCCATCAATCATCACCAGATCTTCAATAAAGGTAAGTCTCATGTAACTGTGCATGTCTTCTTCAGTTTGTGTGTATTAAAATTAATATTTCATGTGGTAAAAATTTTTTTTTGTTCATACTTTGGGGTGTCAGGAACGGATTAATTTGATTTCCATTATTTCTTATGGGGAAAATTAATTTGCCTAACGATAATTTTGCCTAACGTTGAGCTCTCAGGAATGGATTAATAGCATTAGGCGAGGGTCCACTGTAGTCCAATTTTAGTAAAACTAGGAATTTGGATAGCACATTATTTTGGTGTGCAGTAGATGCTCAAACAATTTAGTATGCAAATTGAAGAACATGTGGGAAAATAGGGTTACATTCATAGGCTTTCCAGAGATGAAGTAATTTTTTTTTAAATATCTTATGTCAATTTGATTTGATTTTTGACATTACAATAAAACCTCTAATTAAAGGGCCCCCATACCTTTGATGAGTTTTGAGTTTTACTATTCCCAGAGCCAGGCTTGGGCCAGATTTCAGAAATTATGTACAAAAAAAAAAATTGGCCATACAAACATCGAAATCATCGGACAAAGTGGAAAGAAATTCATAATTCCAGATTGTGTCTATAGCACTAGTGTCTGGTTATCTTCTTACTCATCAGACCAAGCACAATGATTCTGACATTTGTCCCATACAGGCCAGAGCATCTACATCCAGGACCTGTCTTGTTTTCATTACTCCCTGAGCACTCCAGAGGAAACAGAAGGCTGAAAAGCCACCACTGTTATAAATTTAATACACTTTTATCAGTACAAAATAATACAAAAATGGTAGGAAGAAAGAATATGGCCATACCTTCAATTTTTTGTTTCTTAAACTGCTTGTAGATGTACAAGTGTTTGGAGATTGGTATGTAGCTCAACTGAGCAGTAGACAGCTGTGCATCCTCTATTTTATTAGCCAATACCAATTGAACATTTTATTATACAATATTTCTTGTTAATAATAGGGAAAGGGAAGAATTTTATACCTCCTTCAATTCCTTGTTTACTTTTTCTTTTCACTGTTGATAAAAAGTATAAGGAAGTGGTTATGTGATTGCTTAGGTGTAGACAGCTGTGAGATGTGTGTCTGTGTTTTATCAGAGGACCCCATCAGACATTCACTATACAATTTTCTCATTCATAATAGTGAAAAGGCAGAATTTTATCCTCTAAGTTCTTTGTTCTCTTGCATGTTGATAAAGAGGTGTCTGAAGATGATTATGTGACTATTGAGCTTGCAGACAGCTGTGAGACACTGTTTTATCAGCCATAGTATCCTGTACAAATTTATACTGTAATTTCTGAAACATTACAAAAACCTGCTGTAAAAATGTCTTTTGTGTGTGTCTACTGTACATAAACTTTTTTTACCATGGTAATTTTTATAAACAAAGAAAACAAGAAAATTAAGTATAGAAAAAACAATGTTGTTGTTGTTGTTGTGTACTTATTAAATACTATTATTTGTGTCAACTTTTCCAAATACAAAGTCAAGTTTACCAACTGAAACAAGGAATCACAAGAGTGATTGATGATACAGTAGTGTACAAGTTTCAATAAGATACTCTACACTATATTCATATATATATAACTATTAAATCATACACATTAGTGCAGTACAGTATTCATCTACATATTACTACAGGAACCAAATAATGCTCATGCTCACATTATAATTATGAAGGCTTACATAAAAAGCTAAAAAGTTATCTGACTTAGAAAAAATTTCCTGAAATATTTAGCATTTACATTCAAATTTATTATTTTTTTTTTATTTAAGAAATTCAATTTTAAACAACACAACATCTGTGCATGATATACACACAAAATATCCATACACATACATTCCAATTTGTACAATACTGCAAGCACCACAGGCGAATACCCCACATGTACAAACTTGTCACACCATCACAATCTGAAATTCAAAGTGTTTAGTTAGTAAAGCTACAGGACTGTAAAATGTTTCAACCTAAATACTACTTTGATTACATGTATTGCACTAGTATATAAATTGTTATACTACTCACTCTGCAAATCTACTTCTAAAATGCTACTTAAACATGGTACTGTACAGTATTGATGATAAATGGACAGCACTATTAGAAAACGTTAGTTAAAATGGATGATGACATATATAAGTGATAGATACTCAAAGTAAAGAGCCAGTGGAAGACACTAAACCATAACGCAATACAGTACTTTGTACTTTGAGTGCATCCTAATTTAGAGATACGAAAGGACTGTGGATAACACTTGCCACTGAAATACTGCACTGTTTAACATTAAATTTAAGTTTTTAATACAGAATAGCAATTTAAGCACAAGATAAATTGACAATCCTGCATAAGCACAATGCTGTGTAATCGTTCAAGCCCAAATAAACCATCAGAAGCAGCAGGCAATAAAAAGTAAATGCCAATACTAAATGTAATAACACCCAAGGTATAACTAACAAAAATAAATACACAAACAAATAAATACTATCACAGTTAAAATAAACATTAAATTGTTAATTTTAAAGGACTTTTCCTTTAGCAGCTGGGTAGAGACTGCCAGCAGGACTTCAGCATATTTTTATTTTAATTGTAATACAAATATCATTAAGCCGAGAGCATAGTAGCTAGGATCCTTTCAAAATAAAAAATACGTAACTATATACAGTGGACCCCCGGTTAACGATATTTTTTCATTCCAGAAGTATGTTCAGGTGCCAGTACTGACCGAATTTGTTCCCATAAGGAATATTGTGAAGTAGATTAGTCCATTTCAGACCCCCAAACATACACGTACAAACGCACTTACATAAATACACTTACATAATTGGTCGCATTAGGAGGTGATCGTTAAGCTGGGGTCCACTGTATTGAAAAATAAATGGCATGATGTCCAAAAATTTTACGACTAGGTGCCACGATATGCATTCAGCCCAACTAATGTTACAGTGGCCCTTAACATTACCATCCTCTTAGTTCATTTTGGTAACACCACTGGAGTGTTTTGAGGTGCTCTATACACTATATTCTTAAGTTACCCCTGTGATAGCATGTACATGTATCACATTAATTTACTGAAAATACAGTACCAGTACTATAATATCAAAGTTTAGTTAAATACCTTAAGTGTTACACTCACTGTAATTGAAATCAAATTTTCTTCTTTCATGCTTATGAGAAACAAAATACAAGATACTTTATAGTACAGTGTATTTAAGTGCCAAACCTATGTACAGGGTAATTCACCTGAGGCTGACTCACCTACATTGTGGAGCATATGTTCTCTGGGATGCATGTGAACTTGGAAATATGGATAAGACACAATCTGAAAATTATGGGCAAGACCTATATGCTCTGAGAAGTATGGGCAAGCCCTCTGGGCAGTATGGTAGTGCCTATGTGATCCAAAAAAGAGCAAGACCTGTGCTCTCTGGAAGCTTTTGGTTATATCCAAGTGCTCTGGAAGTATAACAAGCTAAGATCTGTGCTCTGGGAACTAGACTGTGTGCTTTTTGAACATATAATTACCTATTCATAGCTACAGGAGTAGAGCTACTCTTGTAGTGTTCCAGCTTACCTGAAGTTTACCTGCAGACAGCCTCAAGGTCAATGTCCCTGTGGTCCAGTCCCAGACTAGATTTCCTGGTTGATAGAAACTGACAAAATTGTTATTTTCTCTCATGAAGATAGCCTGGGGTCTGTTGGTAATTCCACTTTGTATACAGGGAGAGTTCTGAAAAGTTTTGGTACCTCTACATTTATTGAGCTGTTTTTTAGAAAATGACATGTGTACTTAAAGTGTAGTCACATAACCCCCATTTTTCACTGGGATATGTTGCACCATCTGCAATCTCTAGTTTTATTATGGAATGGTTTCTTCACTATTTAATTTAAAATACAAGTTTTCAGTTTCCAACGCAGGACTTGTTACCTTCTTTTGCAAAGCATCCTGTTGTTTTACCGGTGAAGAATTCTTCAGTACCCATTCAGTACCTTCTCTTCAGTTTATAGCCATGGTCTCTCTTGGTCTCTCTCTCTCTCTCTCTCGGTCTCTATCTCTCTCGGTATCTCTCTCTCTCTCTCTCTCGGTATCTCTCTCTCTCGGTATCTCTCTCTCTCTTCTTCTCTCTCTCTCTCGTATCTCGGTTCATCTCTCTCTCTCTCGCATCTCTCTCTCGGCATCTCTCTCTCGGCATCTCTCTCTCTCGGCATCTCTCTCTCTCTCGGCATCTCTCTCTCTCTCGGCATCTCTCTCTCTCTCGGCATCTCTCTCTCTCTCGGCATCTCTCTCTCTCTCGGCATCTCTCTCTCTCTCTCGCACTCTCTCCCCTCTCTCGGCATCTCTCTCTCTCTCTCGGCATCTCTCTCTCTCTCTCGGCTCTCTCTCTCTCTCTCGGCATCTCTCTCTCTCTCTCGGCATCTCTCTCTCTCCTCGGCATCTCTCTCCTCTCTCGGCATCTCTCTCCTCTCCTCTCTCTCTCCGGCTCTCTCTCTCTCCTCTCTCTCTCGGATCTCTCTCTCGGCATCTCTCTCTCGCATCTCTCTCTCTCTCTCTCTCTCTCTCTCTCTCTCTCTCGGCATCTCTCTCTCTCTCTCTCTCTCGGCATCTCTCTCTCTCCTCCTCTCCTCTCTCGGCATTCCTCTCTCTTCTCTCTCTCTCTCATCTCTCTCTCTCTTCGGCATCTCTCTCTCTCTCTCTCGATCTCTCTCTCTCTCATCTCTCTCTCATCTCTCTCTCTCTCCTCGCATCTCTCTCTCGGCATCTCTCTCCTCTCTCGGCATCTCTCTCTCCTCTTCTTCTCTTCGCATCTCTTTCTCTCTCTCTCTCTGGCATCTCTCTCTCTCTCGCATCTCTCTCTCTCTCTTCGGCATCCTCTCTCCTCTCTCTCTCTCTCTCTCTCGGCATCTCTCTCCTCTCTCTTCTCTCTCTCTCTCTCTCTCGGCATCTCTCTCTCTTCGGCATCACTCTCTCTCGCTCTCTCTCTCTCTCTCTTCTCTCTCTCTGCCATCTCTCTCATCTCTCCCTCTCCTCTCCTCTCTCTCTCGGCATCTCTCTCTCTCCTCTCTCTCGGCATCTCTCTCTCTCTCTCTTCTCTCTCCTTCTCTCTCTCTCTCTCATCTCTCTTCTCTCTCTCTCTCTCTCGTCATCTCGATCTTCTCTCTTCTCTCGCATCCTCCTCTGCATCTCTCTCTCTCGCATCTCTCTCTTCTCCATCTCTCTCTCATCTCTCTCTCTCGGCATCTCTCTGGCATCTCTCTCCTCTCTTCTCGGCATCTCTCTCCTCTCTCGGCATCTCTCTTCTCTCTCTCTCACTCCTCTCTCTCTTTCTCTCTCGGCATCTCTCTCTCTCTCTCTCTCTCTCTCTCGGCATCTCTCTCTCTCTCTCTCGCATCTCTCTCTCTCTCCATCTCTCTCTCTCTCTCCATCTCTCTCTCCTCTCTCTTCTTCGCATCTCTTCTCTCGGCATCTTCTCTCTCTCGGCATCTCTTCTCGGCATCTCTCTCTCCTTCGCATCTCCTCTCTCTCGGCATCTCTCTCTCCTCTCTCTCTCTCCGGCACTCTCTCTTCTCATCTTCTCTTCGGCACTCTCTCTCATCTCTCTCGCATCTCTCCCTGACTCTCTCTCTTCGGCATCTCTCTCATCTCTCTCCTCTCGCATCTCCTTCTCTCTCATCTCTCTCTCATCTCTCTTCTTCACGACATCTCTCTCGGTCATCTCTCTCTCTCCCATCATTCTCTTCCATCTTACTCTTCACTCTCTCTCTCTTCGGCATCTCTCCCATCTATTCTCATCTCTACTTACGACATTTCATCTCCTCTCTACTCATCTTCTTCTCGATCTACTCTCATTCTACTGGCTATCTCTCTCTCTTTCAGGCATCTCTACTCTTCTCATCTCCATCTCTCTTCTCTACCTCTCTATTCTACTCTCGCATCTCTCTCTCTCTCATTCTTCTCATACTCGTGCATTCTACTCACTCTCTCGAGCGATCTTCTCTCTCATCTTCTTCTCCTCTCTTCTCGCATATACTTGCTACTTTCGATCTTCTCTCTCATCTCCGTGACATTCTTCTCTCTCTTCGATCTCTCTCTTCTCGGACATCTCTCTCTCTACGTCTCTTCTCTCCGAATCTTCTGTAATCATTCCTCTCTCTACTATGTCATCTTTCTTTCATTCTCTTACTCTCTGACACTCTATCTGTACATGGCTTCATCTCCTCTGATTCCTTCGCTATGGACATTTCACTGTCTCGCTCTTTTGTTGAAACTCTCTTTCTCTTATGTACTTACTTATACTGAAAAATCTTTAGCATACTAAGACACACTACGACAGGAGTTACGTTTGCAATGTAACTACAATGTATATCTTACTTTATCTGTGCTAAACAGCAGGTTCTCCTCGCATCGTCTAACTTTGCAATTCCAATTATAAACTTATGACCATTTCCCCCACTTAACAGTCCATTACCTCTCATTTAACCACCAAATTCCAGGATGCAGGTCATCCCCCAATTAATGACCATTTCCCCCATATCCAATAATACTGACACTATTCAGTAAATATTGTGCATCACCTCACAAACCTCTACATATAGGCCTAAAGCTTTTTCATACCTTTTGGATCATCAGTTAAAATGTGAGGAAAACAGGGATGTTATATATAACACATTTATCACCCAAGGAGAGGGTCTGAGTGAGTCTGTGAACGAGAGGAATAATGTCACATTACATGCTCTACCTTCCATCACTCTTGCTTTACTTATACTGTACTTGTGACATTATTGTAGATTGTTTTACCCCTCACAGTCCAACCTGAGGTCAGGCTTCGTTATTGACTGCCTGTTCACTTAGTGATGGGTCCACTGTTTAGTAGATGCAATGGTCTTATATCCCCATTTTATGAAAAAATTATTAAAATACGATAAGAATCTCTACATCGTAGGCTGGAAGACAACAACCGACCAGGGAGGTACTACCGTCCTGCCAAGCGAGTGTAAAACAGAGGAATGATGGTGTCTTTCCTCTGTCTCAAACATGCAAGGTTTCAGGTGTCTTGCTACTTCTACTTAGGTCACACTAACACTTGCATGTACAGTGGACCCCCGCATAACGATGGCATCACATAGCGATTTTTCCGCATACCGCTTACTTTTATCGCAAAATTTTTGCCGCGCATACCGATTAAAAACCCGCTCACCGATTTTCGTCCGAGACGCGTCCAATGTGCCCTCACATGTGCCGCCCGTCCCATTGTTTACCAGCCAGCCTCCGCGGTAACATCCAAGCATACACTCGGAATATTTCGTATTATTACAGTGTTTTCGGTGCTGTTTCTGGAAAATAAGTGACCATGGGCCCCAAGAAAGCTTCTAGTGCCAACCCTGTGGTAAAAAGGGTGAGAATTAGTATGGAAATTAAGAAAGATTTTGAAGGGTTTGGGGCTAACCCTGAGAAGCCTATGCCAGTTGTGGAATCCATTGTGCCTACTTCAAAGATTAAGGAAATGTGTGCACAGTGGGTTGAACTGCAAACCTTTATAGATGAAAATCACCCTGACACAGCTGTTGCAAGCCGTGCTGGTGACTATTTCAATGACAATGTTGTGGCCCATTTTAGACAAATCGTAAAGGAACGGGAGGTACAGAGCTCTATGGACAGATTTGTTGTGCGACAGAGGTCCAGTGACTCTCAAGCTGGTCCTAGTGGCATTAAAAGAAGAAGGGAAGTAACCCCGGAAAAGGACTTGCTACCTCAAGTCGTAATGGAAGGGGATTCCCCTTCTAAACAGTAAGAAGATAATGCTCTCCCCTCCTCCCATCCCATCAATCATCACCAGATCTTCAATAAAAGTAAGTGTCATGTAATTGTGCATGCCTTTTTCAGTTTGTGTGTATTAAAATTAACATTTCATGTGGTAAAAAAAAATTTTTTTCATACTTTTGGGCGTCTTGCACGGATTAATTTTATTTCCATTATTTCTTATGGGGAAAATTCATTCGCATAACGATTATTTCGCATAACAATTATCCCTCTTGCACGGATTAAAATCGTTAACCGGGGGTCCACTGTATATTGGCTCGATGATCATCACTGAACTCGATATTAGTCATTCATCCTGAACGTGTCCGCGAGGCCCGAGCAGTCCGACACACCATTTACAGCCGGTGTGCCACTGTTTTTCAGCCAGCGAGGATGATTCCACACATTCATACGATATATTTTGTATTATTCCATTCTTTTTAGTGTTTGCAACTGCTAAATAAGCCACTATGGGCCCAAAGAAAGTTCCTAGTGCTAGGCAGCCCTTTGGCAAAGGGCTGAGAGAGAGGAGAGAATGTGCCTTTTTCTGTGATTCTGCAATATGTATGATACTAAAGCAGCAGGAGTCGATGAAGGCTATAGTGCCAGCCAGCGATAAAGTGTAGCATTAACAGTGTAGTAAGTTAAGTGATTAATCAATAGAAAAAGGACAGCACGAAACTGACTCCTCCATTGTTGTTGGAGGTATATGGGCTACTGACTAACACCACCACCTCTGCTGCCTCTTGCTGCTGCCTTCACCACCACTATATAAGGCTCATCTTTCAATGGCCCTTGTACACCCAACAACAAACACCACACCACCACTCGTGACATACTTAATGCCACATTTTATTCATTCTAGAGTATATATCATGTTTCTATGTTATTAATATTGTTTATGTTATATTAGATGAATTGTGCTAAA